TATTTTATACCAATGTATATATATTTTTTCCCACTGTTATGTCCTTTGGGATAGTTTGTGATACTGTATTTTTAATTTTTTTTTGGATGGTTTGACAAATGCTACATTTGTAAATACCCAAGAGACATCTAGTAGTTAGATCCTAAAAATGTATAATCACAGGTGTATTTATTTAGAGAAAGCTCTTAAACTCCTAAGGGGCATCTATTGGTTAGATATTGAAAATGTATAGTCACAGGTGTATCTATTTAACCATTTCTCACTCTCTATTGTCTAAGACCATGACAAGAGAACTGCTTGGGATGATACGCGTTGGTGTTTTGTAATATGTAGCCGTCTTATAATTAAAGGCTTTTTACTTTGCTTGCTATGTGAGTGCCTGGATGTGGATTTTTCTGTTTTTTTTTTTTTTTGCAATGGGATCCACTTTTTGTTTTTGACATTTTGTTCCTTCTCTGGAGCACCCATAGTCTAAACTTGTGATTACCTGATGTGCCCCTGGTCAAGAGTTTTTTCTCAAACATTTCTTAATATCAATGTTGAAAACAGTCGCTGTTTAATATTTTACTGGAAACCGTGATGCATGTTTTTCAGAACACTTTGATGAATACAAAGTTCAAAAGAACAGCATTCATTTCAAAAATAGAAATGTTTTGTAAAATTATAAAAGTTTTTACTGTCACTTTTGATCAGTTTAATGCATCTTTGCTGAATAAAAGTATTACTTTTGTGTTTATACTGTATGTATGTATGTTTATTTATTTACAGTATATATGCACAGCAATCCAGTTTATCCAAACTTACTGTGCAATCTCCATGTCCTTGCAGAAATCTTGTGACACATAACACACATCTTCCTTGACCTGATTAATCACATAAGTCTCATCCATCACATGCAGCTGCCTTTAATACAAAATTGTCACAAGCTATAACAAAGAACTGACAAAGAATTTACGTCTTTAAATGGTGCAAAGCGTACCTGTATGAAATGATCTCCTTCAAATGGTTGGTGAGCAGCTTTCCTCCTACATTTATCCTAGGAAGTGCAAAGAGATTAATAAAAAGATCTTCAGTGCATATAGAATTATACAGCATTAGGATAATTAGCACTCACCTGCAAATGCCCTCCTTCATCTTTCTTCCTCTGCAATAGGGAACAATGTGCGTGGAGGAGAAGCCGCTGTCCACCACAATGCAACACAGCTCGGAGTTATTCTCATGGAAGTACCGATGAGCACTCAAAGATCCAGCTGAAAAATGAAATTTCATCAGATTTATAAATTCATCTGGTAGTGTTCTAATCTAAATTTAGAACAATAAACTTACCATTAATTCTGAGTGCTGACTGGAACTGATATTCTTCAAATAAAATCTCATTCATGGATTCCTGAATTGAGCTGAAGTTGAAGTACGGTTCTGTTATCACAATGTTGGTATCTGCAAAGTCCACCTGCAAACATATTGTGCACAGGCTGAATATCTCATACTGCACATTTATGAAACTGAAAACGTATGTTTGTAATCATTAAAGTACCTTAAACATCTCTTTTCCAAACAGATGATCCCAGACTTTGCGCTGCACATCCCAGTTTACAAGGAACCCCTGATATAGATGCAGAAGAGATGACCTAAGACACAATTCGCTTTATATAGCTTGCAGAGAAGTTTATAATTCATATCGAGGCCATACCTTTTGAAAAGGAAGGATGTAGAAGAGTCCAGACGGATCTTTGATTTCATCCAACTGATTAGCAGTGAATGTTTTCAGTCTGGAGGTCTTCGAACGGAATTGGCAATTTGGGATAACACTAATGAGAAAAAAAAATCGGTGCTTAGCTCAATATAACGAACGTAAATCACATAATAGAATATGTTTTAAACAATAAGGAATGCATAAAAATACACTGTACCTGACTTTCTCATGACTGTACCCGATTTTAGCGAAGTACGCACCATTGTCTAAGACGAGCGTTGACATTTTAACATCACAAGTTCAGTTGTACAAATGTATTAAGGTAAATGATCAAGCAAAGCGCATTTTTAATTTAGAATTTGAAGTAAACATTTGGCAAATGAACATGGCGCGCTATGGGCGTCTTCTTCTACGCTTCAGATGCTAAAAGTCTGAAAACAGTACATGAATACCGCCCCCTACCGTATAGGAGGATGTTTGTGTGAGAGACAGATTTCCCAAAATGCCAAGAGTCCTTCTCCAAAATGTAACCAAAAACCCAAAGCAATGGCAGACGTAAATTGAACATTTATTTGTACCTTTTGGGGAAAATACAACAACTATGATTTCTAAAATACTGCAGATCACCATAATTACATACAATCATGTAAGACAGACAACACAAATAAAAACACACAGGCTATTAAAGCACAGCAGCATCCATGCTCCCTCTTAAATTAATTTGAACAGTATTAAACAGTATGAAATGCTCCAGTTAATTTTTTTCTTGGCACAGTTCACAGTAAATTTTGCAGGTCCTCTAAAAAGACAAGTCGATCAGTGGAGCTGCATTCTCAGCATTTTCTTTCTTGTCCTCTGGACTCCACTTTATAAGAGGTGAGCTCAGATCAATTAACTAGAGAAAAAGAAGCCAATAATTACAAATTAATTTAAATAAACATTATAAGTACCTGAAGAATGAAAGCAATATAAGAATACACATTACCGTTTAAAAGTTTGGGGTCAATAATTTTAAAAAACAAACAAAAAAAAGATTTTACTATCTTTATTCACTAAGGACACATTAGATTGATTAAAAGTGACATTTATAATGGTGTAACACATTTTTATTTTTCAAATAAGTGCTGTTAAGCTCCCTATTCATCTATAGATCCTGAAAAAACATGTATCATGGTTTCCAAAAAACATAAATCAGCACAACTGTTCAATACTGACAATAACTAATGTTTCTTGAGCATTAAATAAGCATTTTAGAATGATTTCTGAAGGATTGCGCACACTGTAGACTGGAGTAATGACTGCTGAAATTAATAACATTTTAAAATAAATTAAAATAGAAACATTTTAAAATGCAATATTTCACAATATTATTGTTTTTACTGTATTTTTGATCAAATAAATGCAACCTTGGTGAGCATTGGAGACTTTTGCACGGTAGTTTATATAAAAATCTTTCCTCTCACCTGTCCTCCCCAAGGCTTTCCAGAGGAAGTCTTGATCAGGTCTGGGGTATTGGAGAGATCAATTAGCAGCTTTTCTGATGGCTGAAGTGCTGGTGCCGGTGCGTCCACAAGCAAAACCTACAATTGTAACATTTTCAGATCTGTTGAAGTTTCTTCTAACACATGTAAAATAAAAAACACTCCAAATAGAGTTTATTTCACCTCTTTAACTTCCTTTTTCTCGGAGATCTGCAGGTGTTTTTGGGTGTCCACTGAGCTTGGAAGTGCTGGGGGTTTGATGTCGACTTGAGGAGGCTCTGGATCACATGAAGGCGAATCAGAGGGACTCTCCACAACTGCTGGCTCACAGGCAGGAGGTTCCTCAGGCTCATCCTCCATATTAAAGACCAGGGAGCAGGGCTGGAGGTCAGCTGGAGGGCAGGTCTCCTCATTGGACACTGAAGTTTGCTTTTCTTCCTGACTCTCACTTTCCTTCATGTTTTCAGGGCTGTAAATGCAAAGTTTGACTTTATACATATAAAGAGATTGTGACAAGCTATGGAATATCAGAGATTTCGGTTTAGATTTAGATGCAGTTTAAGGGCCAAAAGTACCACTTTGAATGAGTGGCAGCTTGGCTGGAGCTCGATGAGTGCTCTGTGACCTGGGAAGGTTTACTCAGACGTGACGCACTCTTGGGTGTGAGTGCAGGGATGCCAGAGATCCGGCGGCTGACTGGGGTGGGAAGAGCTGATGGTCTCCGCAGTTTGCTGCCCATAGCTGAGGGCGTCAGGAGGCCCAATGGAGGACCGAATAGATGATCAGGAATACTGCAAAGACATGTGTCAAAAATAAGAGAATTCTCCAAAAGAAATGAGAAGTTATGAGAATATATTACAATATTACCTCTCCACACTGCATGCAGTCAATAAACTCTTTGGCTTCATGATACAAGGGACGTCAGGTGAGGAGGAAACTATAACTTAATGCAGAAATGTTCTGATTAAGACCAGGGAGCAGGGCTGGAGGTCAGCTGGAGGGCAGGTCTCCTCATTGGACACTGAAGTTTGCTTTTCTTCCTGACTCTCACTTTCCTTCATGTTTTCAGGGCTGTAAATGCAAAGTTTGACTTTATACATATAAAGAGATTGTGACAAGCTATGGAATATCAGAGATTTCGGTTTAGATTTAGATGCAGTTTAAGGGCCAAAAGTACCACTTTGAATGAGTGGCAGCTTGGCTGGAGCTCGATGAGTGCTCTGTGACCTGGGAAGGTTTACTCAGACGTGACGCACTCTTGGGTGTGAGTGCAGGGATGCCAGAGATCCGGCGGCTGACTGGGGTGGGAAGAGCTGATGGTCTCCGCAGTTTGCTGCCCATAGCTGAGGGCGTCAGGAGGCCCAATGGAGGACCGAATAGATGATCAGGAATACTGCAAAGACATGTGTCAAAAATAAGAGAATTCTCCAAAAGAAATGAGAAGTTATGAGAATATATTACAATATTACCTCTCCACACTGCATGCAGTCAATAAACTCTTTGGCTTCATGATACAAGGGACGTCAGGTGAGGAGGAAACTATAACTTAATGCAGAAATGTTCTGATTAAATATCCAAAAACATTCAGGTCAACGTTCATGTCATATTTCACCCCAAAATCAAAATAAAAGAATAAGTGCATTCAGCTTTAAAAAGTTATTCATTTTTGTAGAACCATTTCGATTATTTTTTAATCATGAGATTATTTTCATAAAAGCATAATTTTTTTTTGTCTGCAAATTGTCATTATTGTAAGTCATTCAAATCAGAGTAAATATAAGGTGTTGCAACAAATACTACCATAATACAATATTTAAATTAATGTTACATAAATTATGTTCATATAGAAATAAAATATATAAAAACAGAAATATTATGCCATATGACATGTAATTGTAATTTAAGTATTAATGTAATATTAAGTATATTAAACATAAATTTTAAATACTGTATTACATAAGTAAAATAATTAGGAATTCATCAGAGGTATTAAGAATGAATTAAAAATTATTAATTGTAAACATTCAGTATTTAGACAACAGTTTTCATTTTTTTCTACATTAAAAAAAAAAAAAATCTCTTAGTTTATGTGTGACCAAAAAAACAGTCATCAATTTTTCGAGATTATTTATTTTGAATAAATAAGCTTTCCATTGATGTATGGTTTGTTAGGATAGGACAATATTTGGCCGAAATATAACTATTTTAAAATCTGGAATCTGAGGGTGCAAAAAAAATCTAAATATTGAGAAAATAGTGTTTAAATTGGTCCAAATGAAGTTCTTAGCAATGGCATATTACTAATCAAAAATTAAGTTGATATATTTACGGTAGGAAATTTACAAAATATCTTCATGGAACATGACCTTTACTTAATATCCTAATGATTTTTGGCATAAAAGAAAAATTCATAATTTTGACCCATACAATGTATTTTGGGCTATTGCTACTAATATACTTGTGCTACTTATGACTGGTTTTGTGGTCCAGGGTCACACATATGTTTTTTATTATGATAAAGATAATTTGTTGACAAGAAAATGTCTCAAAGCAAAAAGTGTTAAGAGGCTTAATTTTCCATAGGCTAAATATGTATATTTAATTGTAACATACATAATTGTCTATATTATATATTGTGTTTTTGCTATTTTGTACATTGTCTATTTTGTATATTATCTATATTTACTAATATGATATATATTTATATATTGTATTTTATTATGTATGTCCTGTCTTGTCACTGTCATTCTGTTGCACTGTGGAGCTTCTGTCACTAAAACAAATTCCTCGTATGTG